CCCTCGCGGCGGGGCGCGGGTGTCTAGGGTTTGCAAAACACAGACTCCGAGTTGAACTGGGTGACTTGTGTCACCACGGAAAGTAAGGGTTTAGGCTGTCATTTGCAGGATGCAAAAACAGCTTGCGGCTTTCCTGTAGCTAAGAATCACAGAATCAAATAGGTTGGAAGAGAACTGGAAGATCATCCGGTCCAACCATGACCCCAGCACTGCCAAGTCCACCACTAAACCATGTCACTGAAGGCCTCATCTACATGTATTTTGAATAGTTCCAGAGACAGTGATTCCACCACTTCCCTGGGCAGCCTGTTCCAATGCCTGACTGCCATTTCAGTGAAGAAACTTTCATAATACCGAGTCTAAACTTCCCCTCGAGGCTGTTACCTCTTGACCTATCAGTTGTTACTTGGGAGAAGAGACCGACCCTCATCTCACTAAAACCTCCTTTCAGGTAGTTGTAGAAAGTGATAAGGTGCCCCCTGAGCCTTTCCTTCTCCAGACTAAACACCCCCAGTTCCAAACTTCTCATGTCAATACAAACCCACACTGCGGCATCAGGTAGAAGCTCTCTAGCAGAGGGCAAAGTCAGAGGCCAGCTTTCCCTTGATAGTCAACTGTCTCATTGACTATTTTTACCTGAATTCCAGCTATAAAGCAGAGCTTGCTTTGTGCCTGCTGTATGCCAGGTGGTGCATTCTGAAACCTAAAGACAACCTAGAAATTGTTTCTCACTTTAAGTGAACCAGACTCTGGAGCAGGAGGAAAAATCTTCTAGGATCCTGAAGATACCTTAGTTACTGGAGTGCTGTTATCTCAACCCTTGGGAGTTACATTTCTCTGATTCTCCTCCCTGTCCCTCCGGGAGCTGGGGAAGGAAGAAGAGGGGGGAGTGAAAGAGGAGGGGGGAGTGAACGAGCGGCTGCATGGTTCCGGGTTGCCGGCTGGGCTTGAACCATGACACCCCCTCACCTAAACCAGAGAGCAGCTCGTCAGAGCAAAACAGCAAAGAAGAGGCCTTTTCTCAAAAAACCCTGCCTGGTTTTGCAGTGCTCTGGTGTAGTGTTCGTGACTCCCCATCTCCGAGCAGCGGGGGACAAAGAGCTGCTGCTCCTGCAGGGCCACCCCAGCACTGACACACAGCATTTTCAGAAGCATAAAAGAAAGCAGCTGAGGTAGCCACTGTATCTCTCTAAATGTGCTCCCCATTACCCGTAATCTGGTTACTTTAATTGCCAAAGCCATTAGGGCTTTGCAGAGTCTAAAAAATAAAATAAATTTAAAAGATCTATGCAATTACCAGCTCCAAAATTGAGTTAAAATCTTGTAATAAATTACCATGAAGGCTACTTTCTCCAGTGACTCTTAGAGGCACATTTAAATCCCTGCAGCTCTGCGTGATATGTGCTTTAGGGGAGAAACTCAATTAAAACAAAAAACTTATTTCATTTTAATTGCTGGGCTAATGAAACTGCTGTCACCTGTAGTGTCCTTGTGTGCGTGTCTGGCGCCTCAGCTTTCCGAGTGGCTTCTTGCTCTTCGTTAGTGTGTACATTGCCTGTGTATTTATTATAGGCTATCTCTTAAATGCAAGCACACGTGTACACCAGCTGATGGCAGCAAACACGAAGATGGGTAAAAAGCATGTATTTCTGCGGACCCACCTACGATGGGGCAGGTTGGATTTGGAGCTGTGGACTGAGCTGTGCTCTGTTCTCCCGTTTTCACCAGGGCAGTTTGGGGTTTATAAAGCACCATTTTTAACCTCTGACAGCCCTGGTTTACTGTCAGAGCCTAGAGATTAGGCTTGATTTTTAAACCCCACACCACCATGGTACTGACAGGAGGTGGCTCAGGCAGATCCCATCTCCCACTGCAGGAGATGGGCTTTTTAGTGAGAGCCATTGCCCAGTTTGGATGGCTTTCAGAAAATGAAATCGAGATGCCTCTTTCTCAGTAGCGACCTGGGTGAATCTAAAGCAGCTCACCACAAGGTGGTGTGGAGGATTTCCCATAATTTAGAGCAGAAACTTCCTCAAAAGCTTGCAGTGCCATCAGGAGGAATTGGTGAGTTATGTCAGAGGTGACTGTGCTTTTTTGCTTTCAAATTTTATTGTGTCAGAGTAAGGAAACCAGAATTTTATTTTATTTTATTTTTTCATATGTATGTGTAGACAGCTGTCCCATGCAATAGGGAAAGGACAAGGATCCAGTACTTAAGCCAATACTTATCAGAATGTGGCAGAAATTTAAACCTATGAACTAAAGGAAAACCCTCCATGATGTGATATTTGCCTTTCCTGTGTGGACTGGAACAACATTTTGATCCCCTTCACTTGTCTTTTGCTCCTAGGCAGCCATTTGTCAAATGCAACAACAACCGCTGCTGCCTCGCTGGATGCTGCCAATTCGAGCAACTATTTGTATGAGTACTTGGAGGAGGAGGATTACAAGCAGTATGGCCTCTTCAAAAAAGAAGAGGTACTCTCTTTCAGCAGAGTATTTTTGCCATCTTTTTATACTGTGGTCTTCCTGATCAGGTTGGCCAGGAACGCCCTCCTCTTTATTGTTCTCATCATGTACATCAAGAAGAAAAAGAAGATGACCAAGGCGTATCTGCTGAACTTGGTGGTTTCAGACTTCTTCTTGCTATTAACCCTTCCTTTCTGGGGTCTGTACATTTCTCAGTGGGTGACCTGGGACATATTGTGCCTGGTGTTAAATGCCATGTACATTGTGAATTTATACAGTGGTATATTTTTTGTGAGCTGCATGAGTCTGGACATATATCTGCAGATAGTTCATGCTTGCTCTCCTCATAGCTCCATGACATGGAGGAAGTTCATCCTCATCTTGTTGGTGGGATGGGTCCTTTCCATACTTCTCTCCATTCCTGATGGTCTCTTCACCAGCACAACGCAAATCCACAACGAAACCATCATGTGTGCCCATGATTATGGCCAGAATCACTTATTTTGGAAAACTGTCTTTCGAGTCATGCCAAACACCCTGTGTTTCCTTTTTCCCTTCCTTTTCACGATGTTCTGCTATTCCCACATAGTGTGTGTCCTCACTATGTCTCAGATGCCTGGCTCAAAGAGGGCACTCTGCTTAGTCCTTACTCTGGTGGGTGTCTTCTTTGTCCTGTGGTCCCCTTACAACATTGTCCTCATCCTTCACTCCCTGCAAGATGTTGGTGTGATCAGGAGCTGTGAAAGCAGTAGGCAACTGGACTATGCCATGCAGATCATGGAGAGTTTGTCCTTTGTCCACTGCTGTCTTAACCCCTTTCTATATGCTTTTGTGAAAAAACGATTCAGGTTATATTTATGGAAGATCCCCCAGGCCATTTTCAAGAGAAGTGCTTTCTTTGACATCCAGCCTTCAGAGACAAGCCAGTCTTGCAGCAGATATGCATCTGAGGTAGAAATGTTGAGTATCGCAAATGCATGATAAATGTTTACATTATTTACCTTTTGTGTATGCCCTCTCTACAGTATTTTACTGGTTGTGGCCATGTGATGGATTTGGTGCATAACCAGATGTTTCATCCTAGCACCAGTATCAAGATGATGCTTTTCCACACTGGGATTGGAAAAGTACATGGGAGATTTGTTTCTGTTGTAACTGGTATTATAAAAGGATTGACCAGGGTTTATGTTCATGGAAGAAGCCCTCCTCCTGTCTGGAGTATGTGAGGCATTAGTGAATGAAGGAGCAGCCTGTCTAGATGCTGTGCCATTAAAATGCAAACTGAAATTTGTGCAGGACTTCTCCCTTCTTAGATCCCAGAGTCTGAAGGGTCTGATGGTGGAGAGCCATCTTGTCATCCTCCAGCTTGTGCTGTGGGCTGGGGAATGGATTTGACACACTCATCCATCAGGCCAGACACAGGTGGCCTGAAGCCCAGCCTGGGGGGTGCCTTTACTTCTGTCTTTTGCCATCTGCCAGGTAGATGTGTTCAACCAGGCTCATCTCTTTGTCTACCAGGAGAGGCAACGTGAGGAATTAGGCACCTTTAAATGGAGCTGTCTGACCAATGATGGGTTTCTCTGTTACGGAGAGCTGTGTCACACTTAGGTCTGCTGAGCAGGAACTGTGTCATTCCAAGGGATAGATCCTTTATTAGAGATCAGTTCGACCAGCCACAAAGTGCAAAACAGTAATAACCAGTGAGTAAGGTAGGAAAAACCCCAACTGTGTGTAGCAGAACAGTGGTAGAAGTATTTGCCTTCTCAAAGATCTGTTTTGACAAGATAGAAAGATCCATGGATATCATCTGTAACATAAATATTGGCTTTGCAACACAACAGAGTGAGAGCATGGCCTTGAACAGAAGAGCACGTATAGCTGTTAGCCAATCCTTATTAGCCAATATAGCCTTAAAGTTCAAAGTTACTAGTTTTCTGACCTTTACTTAAAGGTACTCTTCACCCCGAATACTCTTAAACCTTACATGGGCCCTTTCCAGCCTGGAAAGCTATTGAACTTGGGAATTACCTAGAATTGTACAAATAAAATCAGTAATTTAAAAGAAAACACTCATCACCTTAATTTTATCTCTAGACAAGATTACTGGACCAAAAAGGGCTTTGAGTTGATCAAGAAAGGTGGATTGTTTTCACTGCTGTTATTTTTCTTGCCAACTGTTTCCCGAATGGTAGGGCTGGGAACTTTCAATAAACCAAACAAACAACAAACCCAACAAAAACAACAAACCCAGAGTAAATGTTTAGCTGACGCTGTGATGTGTCCTTCACTGCAGGGGTCAGGTTACTGGGGGGGAATGAGGAAGGGGAGAGCAGCTGGGAAGTGAAAACAAAAAAGAAGATTGTGATCCCATACAGAGTAGGGCTTGTGGGATTGTGCAAACCTTATGATGGGATGCTCAGGGGAAGCACAAAGGTGGAGGAAATGGGGCGGGGGGGGAGGATAAAAGGGACTGGTTGTGTGTAAGCAGCATTCCCCATGCCTGCTCACGGCAGTTTGTCCTATCGCCTTATTAAGTACTTTTGCTTTCACATTCTGTTAAATACTTTTCCTTTCACATTCTAATAAATACTTTTTCTTTCACTACATCTTTTCACATAAAGTGTGACAATCTCACTCTCTGTCCTGCATGAGGGTGCTGTGAGGTCCAAGTGCCAGTGGCTGGGGCCAAGGCTGTATAGATCAGGGTGGCAGCACCCTGCCGGATGAGACATGGAGTCCCTGGCATTGTCCCCAAACTCCATCCAGAGAGTGTGGAGCAAGAGAGATAAAGAAGCAGAAGGGAAGATGAGTAAAACTGCCAGGTACAGGGGTGGGAGCAGGAGGGCAGAGGGTCGGGGGTGCTCTGCTGGCTGGAGGGGACACAACAGATTTAAAGGTGCTGGGTGTGCATGCATTGGCCCAGAAGAAAGTGCTGGCATCCATCTAGGCACTGCTGCTCTCCAGCCAGGAGGTGGGCTTGGCCAGTTTCAGACTCCAGACTTATCTGATGCAAAGCAAATACAACTAATTGAAGCACTCATCACTCACAGGCGAAGCAGACCTGCTTTGGTTTTTTGCCCTCATATGGGTTAGCAGTGCTTGCAGCATTCATTGGGAAAGCACTTAAGGTGCACTGTGTGCTGGAGAACATCAAAATGTTGGAGACCTTTCATTCTTTTGGATTTTGAGACCAAATTAGCCCAGCTGTAACCCCCTTCCCTTGGTCCTGATCTCATTTCCAGTAGCATTTCCAACATCTGCTCTTTCTTTCAGTTTTTCAGCCTGCAGTGAATGTCCAAAGCCTGGTCTTAAAGGCAGAAATCACTGAGTGAAATTCTCTGAACTCTCTTTTTCAAAACCTGAGCTCCATGCAGCCTGGGAAAGGAAATTATTTTAAGCTGCTGCAGGGCACGCACCAAAACCCATCCACCTTACACAGCGGCCCAGTAACTCCAGCTTGATGACAGCATACCTTCCACCTTAATAAATCTGTGTTCACCGAGGGAGATATACACACTGGAATGCTCCACAGGGGAAAGGCAAACACTTGCTGCCAATAGGGACAGAGGTCATCATCTGCATATCTGCATATCGGTCGCTGGATGGGAATAAAAGACACGTTCCTGCCCCAACCTAGCTGTAGTCCAACATCCTGGATTGGCACAGAGCTGTCATGGCGCTCTGGAGCATTCTCCTTTGTACCTTGATAGCATTGCTGCTTGGCGGGCTCTACCTCCTGGGCATGTTTCGGAGGCGAAGACCCAGTGAGCCACCTCTGGACAAAGGTATCATTCCCTGGCTGGGGTATGCTCTGGATTTCAGAAAGGACACTGCAGAGTTTCTAAAAAGGATGCAGAGAAAACATGGTGATATTTTCACGGTGCTGATTGGTGGCTATTACTTCACCTTTGTGATGGACCCCTCCTGCTTTGGAGCCATCGTGAAGGAATCACGATCTAAATTAGATTTTAGGACTTTTGCATCTAAGCTGGTCCTGCAGGTTTTTGGCTACAAGCCCATTGAAGCCAACCACAGCATAATTCATGCATCAAGCACAAAGCATCTGATGGGAGATGGACTCACTGTCATGACACAAGCCACCATGGAGAACTTTAAGAAGCTGATGTTTTTCAACCTCAGCTCAGGAGAGGAGAAGCGAGTGTGGCAAGAGGATAACCTCTTCCACTACTGCTACAACATTGTCTTCAGAGCTGGGTACCTGGCTCTATATGGCACTCAGCCACACCAAGGGGCAGATAGCAAGGAGAAAGCTAATGAGCAAGATCGCATCCATTCCAACCAGATGTTCCAGGAGTTCCGGAAGTATGACCGCCTCTTCCCTCGCCTGGCCTTTGCTGTGCTGCCTCCCAAGGACAAAATAGAAGCTGAACGGCTGAAGAGGCTCTTCTGGAGCATGCTGTCTGTGAAGAAAAGCTGGCAGAAGGACAATATCAGTGGGTGGATAAGTGATCAAAACCAGCTTCTGTCAGAAAACGGTGTCCCCGAGTACATGCGGGATCGTTTCATGTTTATGCTACTCTGGGCATCTCAAGGCAATACGGGCCCAACTGCCTTCTGGCTCCTCTTGTACCTCATGAAACACCCAGAAGCTATGAAGGCTGTGAAGGATGAGGTAGATAAAGTCTCAAGGGAGAATGCCCAAGAGGCAAAGCCAAGGAGCCTGCCAGTTAATGTCACTAGGGACATGTTAAACCAGACTCCAATTCTGGACAGTGCTCTGGAGGAGACTCTGAGGCTGGTTGCAGCCCCAATACTGATCCGAGCCGTTCTGGAGGACATCAGCCTTAAGACAAGAACTGGGACAGAGTACACCCTCCGCAAAGGAGACAGGGTGGCTCTGTTCCCACACATCTCTGTGCAGATGAACCCAGAAATTCACCCTGAACCTCATGAATTTAAGTATGACCGCTTCATAAACCCAGATGGCACCAAGAAATATTTCTACAGAAATGGGAAGAGGCTGAAATACTTCAACATGCCTTGGGGGGCAGGAGTATCCATCTGTCCTGGGCGGTTCTTTGCTTCCGCTGAAATTAAAATGTTTGTATTCTTGATGCTGAGTCTGTATGACCTGGAACTGGTCAACAGAGAAGAGGAGATCCCAGCAATAGACATCAGCCGCTGGGGATTTGGGACAATGCAGCCTGTCCACGATGTTCGGTTCAGATACCGGTTACGCTTTTAATTTGGGAAGACTTTGTTTTGTTTGTTCTGATGTTACCTGTGAAATAAATTGCATGATCCCCTGGTTATCAGATCAGTGTGGTGCCAACACTGACAGCACAGGATCACAGAATCACAGAGTGGCTGAGGTTGGAAGCAACCACTGGAGGTTGTTCAACCTGTCCAACTTCCCTGCTGAAGCAGGGTCACCTAGAGCAGATTACGTAGGACTGTGTTCAGATGGCTCTTGAGTATCTCCAAAGAAGGAGACTCCACAACCTCTCTAGGCAACCTATTCCAGTGCTCAGTCACCAACACAGTAAAGACGTTCTTCCTCATGTTCAGGTAGAACTTCCTGTGTTTTAGTTTACGCCCATTACCCCTCATCTTATTGCCTGGCACCACAGAGAAGAGTTTGGCCCCATCCTCTTATGATCTTGGTTGCTTCACAGCTATCACGGCTTTTGTCTTTACCTCCTTTACATGTATTGCTGCTCTGGGTCTCCGGTTATTGGGGTGTTGGTTTATGTAATAAAAGCTCATCTACACTCCAACACAGGAGTGCAGAAAGAAAAATAGTACTGTGCTAGGCTATTCCCAGCCTCATCCAGAGGGCCATCTGCCTATCAAAGGGCCATCTGCCTATCAAAAGCCCATCTGCGCAAGCCCATCAGAGCACAGATACTTATTGGCAGGTGGCAACCCAAATTAAGGATTCCAAGAAGCAAGTATTTTGTCCAGGTCCCTCCCAGGGCTGTCCAGCAGAGCCATCAGCCCCATGGTCCCAGCATGAGACC